TTTAACTTTGTATAAAATTAATAAATACTGTTTCTACTAAACTATCATATCAAATGTTCAACTCATTTTATTTTGTTTAATTTCATTCTGAAATATTAAATCTTACATACTAAACAGCTTCAAAATGTTATTGCTTAATTAGCTTAGGTTTTTCTAAGAGGCAGATAATGCCTTTGTATGTCGTCACTATGTTATTATCCGTGAATTCCCTTTCTTTTGTTTACATATACAGTCAAACCTCTCTATAACGAAGTCGTTGGTGACTACAAGAGACTTCGTTATAGAGAGGTCTTCATTATAGAGAGGTTGAACAAAATTGTATGTACGTTTTTATTTTAAAAATGTATTTAATTCGTGTTTATTCATATATATATACATAACATTAAAAACATTAATTGTATATTGGTAAGCCTATAATTTTAGTTTGTTTAGACATTTGTAATTTTTCCTTATTAAGGAACTCTTCCAAATCTTCTAACAAGTTAATAACTTGCAAACAAAGAAGTTTCTCATAAGTTACAACGTATTAGTTGAGTGTTTAGCTTGTATTTAAATAAATTCGTTATAGAGAGGTTTCTTTGTATGTAAAAATTTGTTTGGGTACCTGAAAAAACTTAGTTATAGAGAGGAATTCGCTATAGAGAGTTTCGTTATAGAGAGATTCTCTATAGAGAGGTTAAAATATATTAAAATCACTGTGTCTTCAACAAAACTTCGTTATAGAGTGGAGGTTCGCTATAGAGAGGTTTGGCTGTATTTCATTCTACACTGATCCTCTTGCGGTTGGAAAAACCCGTGTTAATGAAATATCCTAATGTCTATTAGTTTAAGTATTTGAAACTAATGCTTTCATTTATGGAAAAAACACGGCCTTTTATAATGATATGTAAAGATGAGAAAAAACCATTAAAATGATTTTAACACGAATTTTAATAAAAATTATGAAACATTTAATATCTAAATAACCATATTTTGGTATTTTGATGTATATAGTGAGTAGATACATGTTCAAATCTGAACAAAGAGAAAATTTCAGCTTTGGCCAAAAACTAATTTGAAATTAATTATGAGTAATTAATGTATAATTTCATGATTAACAACATACATCCATTTATAAGTTTAATGAAGTGTAATCAAATTTTAATTAAAAATTATATATAATGTTAAAATTTACCAAAAATGTTCATGAAATTGTAACATTTCGTTTCATACTCGTAAACTAAATGAATTTTAATGATTCATAAAGTTCATTTCTGCAAAAATATGAAATGGAAGCACTGCTTTATGGTTATAATTAATAAGTACTAAAGATACTTTACGAGCTACACATCAATTAATTTTCAAATACATTTTAAAGAGATTTGTACCACATTTGTACAGACATAGCAAAGCAATTAATGTTGTAAAGAAACAAGGACCAACTTAATTAACTGTTACCGCGC